TGGACTCTTGTTAATTGTTGTTTTTGTTTATTTTTTTTTTTTTGTGCGCTACAAAGAGATACATCCAGGATATATGGAACACTATCTTAAACAATTGTTGTTGAATCAAGGGCATTCACGACTTTCAAAAATGGCGCGATATGTCACGGTCGCCGATCAAGGCACTGGGGACGAAGCATTAAAACGAGGTATCAAAGGCCAGCCTCTGTATAATAAACTTCAATGGGGTTTGCAAGATTGTTTTGTTATAAATAACATAAAAAAAATAATATAATAAAGCTGAACATCGAATTTGAGCTGTTTTTGAACATATATTTCTTCATGGGGATTCAAATAAGTATTTGTGATGATTTTTTTGTCGATACAGCATTGTCGCTGGTGTATCCACATCGTGCGCTGCCAGGTTATTTTGAGAAAATCGCGTTGGCCTGCGCAAGCGAAAAATCGCTCGTGTAGCCGCGGCTTTATGATGTGATAGTTGCCCATGAAACTGAATGATCATAAATTACAAAAAAAAAATAGTCAACCGAAAACATCCATTTTCCAAGGGCAACCATTACAGCAAAATGCCAGAGATTTCCACTGCTCTGTTCTGTTTATAATTCAAAAATATTTTTTTCTGAAAAGCGGCGGGCACTTTGATGATAATATCCATCTATGGCGGGCACTATTGCGTCACGTGGTCGACTCTCCACCAATGAGAGCAGAGGGAAATTTGTGTTGAGTTATAAATGGATATATGGTGTATTGCGATGTGAAGTTAATTTTTTTGTTACCTGTGGGTACAGCTGATGTAAAGTTTCGTTTCCAATCGCAAACACTTCGTCTGGACTCAATTCAGTTGTAGTAAAGTATTCTAATATGTATTCATAGGCTTTAGCACCGCTTAGCTTCTCTCCTGTTGGCAGTTTACCGGTGGTTGGAACATCGCGGTCAGTGGAGCCATTGACGTAGATAAATGGCACGGGCAGCGATGATAGACCGCTGGACACTGAACTAGGGACGCAGTGCGACTGGTACTCGTACTTAAGGTATCTGAAAATAATTATATGAATGATAAGCAATAACGAAGTTTTTATGATATCCAAAATAAAGAACCGAGGAAGGCAGAAACAAAGACCTTTCAAAAACATAGGCCCCTTGCGCAACTTGTTTCTAACTGCGAAAGGTCTATTGTACTATAAGAAATTCTATTAGAGAAATTTGAAGGTCGCACGTGGTTCTGTTGTCACGGCGGGAAAATCAAGAACACAAAAAAGCAAGCCTTGGAACACGAGAGCAGCGAGTCAGTTTTTTAGCTTCTAGAGAGGGGACTGAGTACGAGTTCTGCTTCCCTTGGTGCATCGCGCGCTGCTTGAAATAAGGAGAGAAAGTACTGCCTAATATGGTGTGGTACTTTCACATACTTGAGCATTCTGTCGATGGGTTTTCCCAGGTACTCTAGTAAGTATTCTCGAAGCGAGTCCTGCAGCTTTTTTTCGGCATATTTCTGACGCCATAACAGAAGTTGTCTTACGTCGTCTTGTAGTTTGAGTAAGAATTTGGGATCTAAAACATCCTTGACGTACACTTCATCAAATATGCCTGAA